GGATTCAGCACCCAAAATTTGTGGGAGCTTTTCTGAATGCAAAAATCGAGTAATAGTTCTCTTAAATAAAGGAAAATTTTGCAGAGTTTTCACACTCATGGGTAGTTTATTCCAAATAGCAATTGCATTTTCAGAAAAGAACCGACGATATTTAACAGTACGTGCCAGAGGAAGAAACAAAATACCTCACGGTGACTGTTACGTCGTGGGTGGATATGATGTCTTAAATAAGTGAGTGGGTTAAATGGGTGATTATATAAGAGTTTAAATAGCAAAAATAGTCCTTTTTGAAATCTTCGGAACCATAAAGGTTTAAGACCCCTAAGACGGCAACGTTCTTGGTAAGACAAATGTCGGTGTTCCGGGGTTAAAATTCTCTTGGTAAAAAAGTGTTGAACGGATTCTATTTTCTTCCGCTCAGTAGCACGCATATGGCTAAATAAAAACGACCAGCATTCCAGACCAGGTCTAACGTACATGTTGAAAAGGCGCATTCTAATGTCCCTAGTTTTAAAGTTTTGGAGGATAAACTCGGTCGTTCTACGTGCTTTGGAGACTATCAAGGCACAGTGCTCGGAGAGATTGAGATTCTTGGAGTATGATACGCCCAAATCCTATATAACCCCTGGCACATTTATGGCGTGACCTTCAATACTTAGTTGAGGTTGACGGTCGTCGCCAACCACCATGACTGAGCACTTATGCCAAGAAAGAGAAAGGCGCCATGTGCCGCACCACTGGGCGAAAGCCTGTAGATCGCTCTTTAGGAGCTCAAGCACGATGTCATGATCTACCGACTTATATCGATATGCAACTTTAAGATCATCGGCATACATGAACGGCTTACCATTCTGAAATAAATCGGGTGCATCATTAACGAAAAGGCAAAATAAAAGCGGGCCGAGTACACTACCCTGAATGACTCCACTCCTCACACGTGTGGAGTTGGAGATGGTATTGGAAATCTTAACTCGTTGTGTGCGAGTGCCCAGGTAAGAGGATATAAAATTCGAAAGTTTGCCACCTATTCCGAAAGAGGACAGTTTCAAGAGGAGAAGAGCATGGTCAACACGGTCAAAAGCCTTAGTGAAATCAAAATATACTGTGCAGAGTGCAAAACCATGGTCCCTAGATTGGAGAACATAGTCAAAGAAAGAGAGTTGACAGGTGTCACAAGATCGAGCTTTAAGCAATCCATGCTGAGCAGCACTTAGTAGATTATTCACTGTTAAGTGACACATCATCTGATCTTTGATCAGTGTCTCTAAGAGCTCCGAAACTGCGGGGAGGGTGTTTATTGGCCGAAAGTCATCAAATGATGTAGATTTGCCGTGCTTAGGAATGGGCAAAATGCGTGATTCCTTCCACAAGGTAGGATAAGTTTCATTTTCAAGAGCAAGATTAAATATCTTGCATAAGAGGGATGGGAAGATAGTGTTTACATCTGCTTTTAAAATGCTTTCCGGGACGCCATCAGGGCCTGGACTATAAGATTGACGAAAACGCCGAATCGCTACAGTCACATCCCACAGAGTGACAGTTATAGTTTCTAGAACTGCGCCGGTCAATGACTGGATGGTCGGAAACGGAGTGGTCGAGTCTACAATAAACATTTTGGACAAAAAATCATTGAAGCTATCAGCGGTTAACTGGGCATCAACTATGGGATTTCCGAGATCGTCTCGAAGGATGGGATACAGCGTCTTTCTCTGAGTTCGTATTTTTCTAGAGAAAAGTTTCGAGGCACTTAACAAGTGGTTTTCGGTAAAGTGGACCTCTTCGGCTAGCTGTTTTTCTTCAGACAATCTCTTAGCTAGATCAAAAATATCACAAATCAAGGGCAGAATAGAAACGTCGTTCTGTAGATGGAAACGACGATAAAGCCTGCGCAATCTGCGACGAAAGGGTAAAGGTAGGAAAATCTCATCCCCAACATTAATAATTTTCCTACGGGGGACAAAACGAGAAATAAGCGGACCCAAAATTTTGTACAGTTTTGCAATGCAAACATTTACATCCGAACTAAGGAAGAACTCAGTCCAGTCGTAGGAATTAAGGTGTATTAATAATTCGGTTGAGCGAGTTGATCGGAAATCGCGGAAAAAGTTATACTTTTGGGACGACATTTCGTCAGCCTCGAATTCCAACGTTGAAACAACTATGTCATGGTCTGAGCCCCCGAGTGGGCCTAGGGATGACACTGACGATGGCAAGCAGCCTCTACAGAAAATTAAGTCAAGTATACTTGAGCCTCGGGTGGGAAAATCAACAACCTGAGTCCACATCCCGACATCCACAGCCTCAAGAAAGTCATCGAACATTCTGGGGCCTGAAGGCGGAGACCAGCGTAATTCGGGAAGATTAAAGTCACCCGCAACCAATTGATACTTAAAGCTTGAGTCGACCGCAGCATGAAATGCCTGTGAGAGTAAGCGATCAAAATTGTCATTGGCGTTGGGAGGGCGATAGACGCAGCCAACGAGTAAGGAGAACTTATTTTTTAGTGCAACCTGGAGCCAGCAGCTGTCTTCTGCTGCGGAAAAATGCGGTAGATCCAACGGCAAAAATGTAAGTGTTTTCTTAACGTAGACGCAGCTGCCCCCACTACGGCTATCTTGGCGATCATTTGGGATGCAATTATAGCCTAGAAGCGAGAGTTCGGAGTCAGCTACTGAGGCTGATGCCCACGTCTCAGTTACTAAAACAATATCAGGACAATGGACGAAAACCTGAGTCTGAAGCAAAGGCATCTTATTAAGCAAGGATCTGGCATTTAAAACAAAAAGTTTGAAGGGAAAGGCTGTTAGTTTCTGAGGGAGTTGGGCTATATCGTCCAGTTGTGGGCTGCCCACGCAGCAAACGTTCCGGATGCAACCGTCCGGTTCTGCAAAAAATTTTGTGGCATCGAAAACTTCTGACGTGGATAAAAAAGGGTAGGACTTGGGGGCGGGAATGACTGGCAGGTGAACTGGTAACCATTGTTAGCTAACTTATTTTCAGCTGGAAATCCGCGGGGCAGTTACGGAAACTTATTCCCGCAGGAACGAAACTGATGGTCGGATGTGTTAACTGCACATTAGAATGAGTAATACATTGATAAAACGGCCGTGGATGAAACAAGTTAAGGGGTGGGGGACGCATTGTTTCCACTGGAGCAAGAGTTCTATTAAACGGCGGAAAAATCGGCATATTAGGCCTAACTGCCTCGATATGGGGGGTGGGGCAGTTGCGAACCCGCTACGTTTTGAGTCAGGGTATTTGAGGCACTGTTAACCGATTGTGGAGGAAAAGATTTTATAATGGTGCTGAATTTATCGGTTGTCCGAGTGGCTGAGACAGCAATCGGATTTCCCTTTGACTTAGACACATGCTTAAGCTTGCTAGGGGTTGCTGAGTGAGCCGATAGAGGCGTGTTTATACCATGCCTGATGGTGCGTTTAAAGAGCTCATCATTAAAAGTAGTCGAATTCGCTACGGAATTGACCATGTCGTGGCGTGCAGATGCCGCAGATGGTGTTATAGAGGACTTATTCAGACTGACAGTAGGTGTCATTATCTTGGTGCTGGTTTTTGCCGATTTTAATTTATTCAGTCTTCGCTGCAGGGGTGTGAGGTCTGGCGAAACGGAGCAGCGCCATTTGCGGCAGAAGTCTCTGGTTATCTCCCTACTCGACAAGATAAAATCGACTTCTATCATGGAGAAAAGGGTAACTAGTATCGGCGCATTACGGCTAAGCGAGCGAAGTCGCTTAGCTTGTGCGACACTGAAACTCAAGCCACAACTTTGTAGGAACAAATGCGCTCCCTCCATAGCAGATAAGTGGCTCGGAATGTTTCGCAGTACGAAATTATGCTTGCGCGTAATTCTTTCCTCAGTTTCCGAACTTATTACCCCAATAAGTTTAAAAGCTTGTTCAATCACTTTTTCAGAAGTGCTGTTTATGTCGCCATAAATCAACTGGTCGCTTATTTCGCCGGCTGATGGCCTGTTACGACTAGCAGAGGCGTATTTTTGGATCTTGCATGCATGTATGTATTGTATGTATGGATCTTTGCAGATTCTCTGAAGTAGTCAGAAATAAGCGTTGAGTTTGCCCAAAGCATGGCTTTATGAGGAAGAGAGCATTGCATTTGCGGAGCCTGTGGGAACAGAAACAAATACCAACAGAGTACTAATAAAGCAATGATGAGGGACATTCGGGAAAGCAAGCGGTAATTTCTTAGTCTTGCACTTGATCCTGTCCTGATGGTCGGCTGATTGTTGTTAACTTCTTTCTTTTCTTTGATTTCTTCTTGCGTATATTTCTGAATTTTGGAGACATACGTAGATTGGGGAAAGTTATACTGACTGCCACTAAAGACGAAAATAGAGGGGTAGTGTAAGACGGTTTAAATTAAGTTGCACGCACAGTAAAAAGAACGACCGTGTGTGTCTCAAATAGGCCAGATGGCACAACATAGAATTTCAACGAGATATATCAAGTCCTTATAGGGGGTTTTGGCAGATTTAAATAACTTTTTTAGGCCCATCTGGAGGAAATTGAGCGGCCGAGGTAGGATTCGAACCCATGACACCAAGGGGGAAGCTTGAATGCAGTCAACGCTCTGACCACGAGTTTCCGCTGAGATCCGTGAGTTGTCCAAGTGGGATATCCTAAGCAATAAATCTAAACTCCATGACATGACTACCAGTCTCATGTAAATAACAATATCAAGTTTTAATAGGCTAAAACACGGTCGTAAAAGACAATCAGCTGACATTGGCGGTCAACGCGTTGGTCATTAAGGTCCCTCAATATATGCCTTGCGATGGGGAAGTTATCGGTTTCATCCAATGTAGGAGTGCAACGTTTACCGTTGAGCACAAAGAAAACATTTTTTTCAAAATAACATGCTCGGCAAGCTGTTTGTGCCGTGGCTGTATTGACGTCCTGGTTAGTTGGAGCCGTATTTCGGAGCCCATTAACGACTGTTCCCACCGCTCGAGGTTTCTATCTCATATGCGATTAAACTTGCGTGTAAGAATCACGGGCTTGTCCAAAGCCAAAATTTACTCCGGTCAGGTAATCATTTTTAACTTATTTAATACTAATATTAAATACTAATATTCGATTAAATATTAATATCAAGACTTCCGAGCTGTAGCTCTGATGGGGAGTAGGATAAAAAATTGTCTTGTTTTCCTAACGACTTGTAGTTCCGTTGGCAAGAACCATAGAATTAAGTAGAGCTCTGTGCGAATCTAACTAACAATGCTGAAGGCCTTCAGTTAGAGAAGACCATCTTTTCTCCAACCTACTTCACTTTGTTTTGCTAAAGAACGAGTGCATGTGAGCCTCTGAGCACCCTATTCGTAACGTAGCATGCGGAGCAGCAAAAAAGGTCAATCAAGCCCCATTAGAATGCATGTATTAATGTTGGGTGGAAATTTTAGTCTTTCAGTGCTTAAACTCGTTCATATTCACGCGATTTCCAAGCTTCATTTTGAGGCTTTTGATAAGTGGTTACACTGCGCGACTTCACGGAGAGCATTCCGTGGTCTGACCAGACCACATTCAAAAACAATAGTAATTAATATTATTACAGAAGGTTGCGTCTGCACGTCCTGCCTCTCCTGCTGAACAAGATGTTGCATAGTGGGCGGCCGCTAAACCTAGTTTCGGGAACATTTCCAAAAGTTCCCAAAGACCGGGTTTCAATCCAACCAGTTTACGATTACGAATGCTCATAAAAGGTCTCCACACACTTGCCTTTAATTTGACGAGAATAAAAAGTTTATTGGGTGGATTGCATAAGCCAACAAATTTCACCCCCCCCCCACCCCAGCCGTGTCAGGGACTCTTGTTGAAATTTATTCGAGGCGCTGTACCTTGTATTGTTTAGGACCTCCAGGCATGTGTGGTGTTCTTCAAATGCTGCCTCATAAGCGTATCGAGGCCCCTAAGTAGATACCTGGATTAAAATCTGCAAAGCTATGCATTACAGACATTACGCCCTTTTTGCCTTTAAACAATGAGTGGACAGTCGTAGGATTTCCCCGTCGACACGTCAGTAGCAGTTTGTTTACAGTTCACTTTCGCTGGAGATTAAATCATATGCTTTCTTAGACAAAATGAATTCTTGTTTGTTGTCTTTAGTGACCTTTAAAATATTTTGCTTAATTCTTTGCCAAACAGGGCTTTACTCGGTCCTGTGTTGCACTTGTAACGGCTAGCACCAGTGATGGTTTAGTCGCAGCCGGAGCCCACGTTTCCCGGACCAGCAAGACTCGTGTTATGCAACCGTTGGTAGGCCCTCGTATTCCTTAACGCCGAAGACAGATGAATCCAATATCCTCTCTAAGTCGAACTTGAGCACGTGTCCACTTTTTGTTTAACCATCACGCGGCGATGCGAGCTTGGGCAGGGATTTGGAGAGAAGACGTCGGAGTTTAACTTCCCTTCGGGTCAGAAGAGTGCGCAGACGAACCGTTTAGGACGTCAACACTTTATCCCAACATCGCCAGATGTCTCTCCAGGCGGTGGAGTACTGCACTTTAGACATGTTCCATAGGCTGAAATCTTGGCACTCCCTGCTGGTAGTAGTTGTCCTGCACCATAGTCTTTCGCGTACCCGCAGCATTTGCAAGCGACATATCTTAAGCATCAAGCTGGACTACTCTGCCGAAAGCCTTGAGAGCTTTCTTGTAAACCTGGCGGCGACTACAGGCCCTTGCAGAGTCAGCAGAGTGACTCATTTTCGCATTTTATGAGGTGGTGTATCTCCTCCTCACATTATCTAATCCATCGTAGAGAGGACTCGGAATAGACAAAGCATTTTACTATTTCAAGCATCATATCACCCAGGAAAAAGGTGGGGGGGAGGCGTTATCTGCGTCGTAAAGCCATTAAGGTCTCCTTTAATCTTGTTAGCGGCATAATTTGCGGGATTCGACGACCATACACTCAAGGACAAATTTTATTTCCTCTAAGTGATGAACTGTCGTCTGCAAGACTTGTCTTACCTGGACCCACTCGTTTCTCCACCCCTTTCTGGAGGACATTTCAGTTGACGGTGTCAGACGTTGCGTCAAAGTAAAGGGGACCGTCGGTTATCATCTGTTAAAAACAGGGGCGTTGCTCCTCAATCCGTTGCTGGTCGAGTAATTGCTTGTCAGGACGAAAACCACCCTTTTTTCCCCTTACCCTAACGTCCATAATGAAATGAGAACGGCTAAAGAAGATACCCAAGAAAATTTTTATGACGGAGTCCACTAAACCGATACCTCTATAGTTTTAACTTTGGCAGATCAACACGCTTTAGTCTTGTTGGCAGTTTCGTTTTTCCACGCTTATCGAGCTATCTTATCTGGCCACCCAGGAAAAAACACCAGAGCAGCTTTTACCGGCTTCACCCGGACTTTCATCTTCGTCCGCCTCTTTACCGTTTCAAAAACGCCTGATTGCCACTCCAATTTCGACAGCAAAGGTCGGATTGCGGTAACAGTCATTGGGGGCCTTTCAGGACAACTGCGTTAGAAGTCATGTCTGGCGTACCTAGAGGTAGAGGGCTGAGCAAGTCGTAATATCTCTTTCGCCATCGCAGCAGTTACAAATCCACTGACGTGTTAGGGAAGTCTGTCTTCGTTTTGGTGGCTTCAATGACCACTGGATTTCCTCTCAAATAATGCCAAAGAAGCTAATAAAGCTTTTCTCTGACATTGACAGTTGAGACTCTTCCCATTTCTTGTGTCGTGTTCTGTCAGGATCGGTTTCAGTGGGCTGTCACGGACCTGTAAGACGGGGTGTTCTAAAGACCAGATTCCTGACGATTTGATTTGGCGTGAATCCTCTATCGGTTGGTACTGGTTGATATCCAATCTTCGGCTTGCGTCTGCTGCGGTCTGGGTGCGTGTGCGAGTCCATCCTTTATTCACAGGAGCTGGAGCAGGAGCTGGCCTCAGTACATAGTCTTCCTTACTTGGCAGAGGTTATCTGGTACTAAATACCACTCCTCTATCTACTAGAAAGAACGCATAGTCCGACTAGGATGGCGACTGACTACTTGTATTCTGGTGTGCAATCTGACCTCGAAGTTTTATTTTCTTGTCGTCGGCACTTTGACTTGTCCAATTAGCCACTGTTACTCACGGCTCACAGGTTTATTTTTCGCACTCTTCCTACTTAATTTAGTATTGATCCACACACGTTAGGGAGACCTGACTGCGCGGGCATACTAGTTTCTGGTGGACGCCTGTTACCTGGTAGTCGGACTTGTGCGTTTATGTTACATTTGTATGAGGCGGTGGTCGTGCGAGTCCTGCCTACTGCGGCTGCCAGCCACAAGCAGAAGTCCAAGCACGATTGGGCTGCCGATGCCCCTGAGATGCCGCGAACGCCGACGTGCAACCACTGGTACACCCGTCAGTACACAACACCTAGATGAAATCGTTATAGCTGTTTTGCTTACTGCCACATGCAAAGAATGCCACGCAATGGGAATTAGCGCGAACCACACCGCTTCTCACTGCGCACAATGTCGGGCTTGAGCTGTTGGCGGCGTAGTGTGCCAATGTTGTACTTCACTTAAAGTTGACCGAAGTCAGTTACTCCCAAACAGCCAGATTCCTGGTCACCTGCTGTTCGAGGCCTCTGTTTGTAAACCCAACGTCCAATGAGCCCTGTGGAACTTGAGAGAGATAGGTGCGCCAGCACCCTTGTTTGAAGCAAAAGCAGCAGTGGTCTCTAATCTCGGGCAGGTGAGACCGCGCCATAAAGGCGAAGCTATAAAGAGCCAAGGCAGCCTGAAAGTCGGTCCGGGTAAGGCCGTGTTACCCCATTGGTTGGTTACTCCCCAGCTCATGACTGTTAGCGCGCTGTGATAATTTAGAAGCGCGCTTTTTAAATATTGAGTTGAACGCGCGATCCAAACTCGATTGGTCATACTCTTTCTTGGCGGGTTGTCCAGGTCAAACCATCCTCGTCTGCTAGTCGACTATTGCAACAGAAGTGACAGAAGTGTGTATTACATTGGTTTATTTGTCCTTTCTTTACCAAGGCAACAGAAGCTGTAGTGTACTGCTATGTGCCTGGACAAAGTGCTGTCCATCCTGAATCAGAGATTGCTTTGAATTGTCGCGCCGAAGTCCTCAAAGAGGGGCGACGAGTTTGCGCCAGATGGCCACCCGACCTCCTTCCACGTGTTCTCCTCACCGTTACGGCTTGTCACGCGGACTTTTTCCTCGCTCGAGCGCTGGACAATCGGGCTCCTTCTTTCATAGTCTGCGTCCCCTCAGAACGCATAGCTGTTGGTGACCAAGTGGAGATGCTGAATGTTTGGCGGGCGGGTCCCTCACGAGTTGATCGCTTTGGCGAGCTGCTGGTCCCTACCATCTTATCGACGATTCTCCGACGAAACGTCAGGAGCGGAGCAGACGATGACCTGTCTGGAAATGCGCTTCTAGAACTACCCATGTTGCATACGCGGCTGTGGAGTTTCAGCTGGAGAGATAGAGCCTGGTTCATTGACCTTCAACTTCTTCTCAGAGAGGTCAGTGTACCTGATTGTGGATCTTGGCCATTTGATTTGCAATCAATACTCCTGTGAAGAAGAAGATTAATTATTGCGTTTTTAGAGAGGATATCAGTTTTATATGACTCTGAGTGGAGTACGGGGTAGCAAATTACGACGTTACCCACCCCGGGCAGTCCCTGCGAAATTTGGTTCTCTCGATCTTATTGAGTAATCTCCCAGGTTTTTTGCGATTTTTTTGCTCAGGTGACACCACGCCAACTGCATTTTCCTCGGCCACCCAAATTCTCTTCAGTCAAGCACTTTTTGGCAAGCTGTATTCGTTTAGTCGTTCTTGAAGGACCCTATTACCGACAGTCATACCTCCCATTTCATGCATTTCTGACCTAATTAGCGAAAGTTGCTTTGAGATGGACGTCCTCTCCGCTCTTTTTTTAGTGGAGACGCCCATGTTTTGCTTCATTTAATGCTTTCATATTTGCGCACGTTACGTCAAGTTAGGCGACATGTCTGCGCTCTTGCTTGGTTCCTCAGCCTCCCTGTTGTAGGTTAACCGCGTTCCGACTGGTCGCATTTCATCGTAAGGTAGAACCAGCTTTGATATTAGCCATGCAGGCTATGAGCTGCGTTCAAGGTCGACGCTACTTACATCCATCTCGACGATGTCGCTGGCCAAAACCAGGTTCAGCCGAGCTGGCATGTCGGGCGATATCGCCTTCAAGTTGGCGCAGTGCACAACCGAAGTATCTTAGTAAGGGGACGGAAAATTCGCAGTTGAAGGACGTTTTAGCTGGTTTTTGGAGAGCCGATCGGTAAAACGAATTCAGAGAACATAACTCGAGTGCTATCGATGTCTTCTGCGCTGGGAGGGGGCCATTCTTTCCAAAATAGTGGACAAACCAATCTTTTCTTTTGCAAATTCCCTGGCTTGATACCTTACCTGACCTCTGACCGTGCCTTAAGTCGCTGTTATGCAAAGGCCCTTGAGGCGGAGTCCTTCCGTGTGTTGAAATGAACAAGCAGTGTGTTCTTGTGAACTAAATTCAAAGTAAGATTGGGTTGCAGCATACCATATTAGCAGCATAGGTACTAGCTAAAAGCCCAGACACGTGCTTCGCCGATATTATGCAGCTGCGAGGGGCACGGCTCCTCAGTGGGTTACCCAGCATTCCCCGTGTGCTTTCGTGTACAGTTTAGAAATTGTAACTGCTAGTTTGGAGTAGATAAGTTTAACCTAAGGTCTATAGGCGTAGACCGAAATGTGATGTGTGAATACTTGGGCTGATGTCCATCGGCCACAACGCGATAACCGCGTAATATTTATTAACTGCCGATAAGCAACCAGCAGGGTGCATTGGGTTGCAGCAGGCCATACTAACAGCACAGGTACTAGCTAAAAGCCCAGACACGTGTTCTGCCGATACTCTGTCGCTACATGACGCATCATTTAATATCTGAGGAAATTAAAAAGCATCAAAATAGGCTGTCGAACTACTGCATATGCTGAGGCGTAGGCGGTCCCTGTAAAGTAAGATCCGGAAGCACTATAAATAATGCCCTTCTTCACTCGAGATCCCACGAAATCAGCCTTTTAAAGGGTGTTTTCGAGGACAGTTTTGCCACGTTCTAGTGCCAATGGTAACCCTTATGGTAGGCTATTGCGAACAGGATAGTCACCTCACTCCGTAACCCTCGCAAGCTCGGCCAATCACTTCAACGGTATTGAAGGAGCGATGCCTAAGTGCGTCAGTGAACGGCGCAAAGTGTATCTGCGCTCTGTCATGTCTAGTAGCCGCGTGAGAGTGGCAGGTATCACTGATCTGTCCCGATTGCGTGAAGAAAATGGACATTTCGATTTTGCCTTACGCAGTTGGAAGAGTTTGCCGACAACGAGAGGAATACCTGAGCGCCACTCACTGATGACGGCAAGTAAGTCAATGTGACCAGTTTAGTGTCCACCTTTGCTGATAACACCTTCGTTGCGCACGCCTGCACCGACCGTTTGCTCACAGCCTAAAGCGAAACGGAAACGCTCACCCCCACCTCATAGTTGAGATGGATTTCGAGGATGATACTCCCAGGTGACAGCCTATCCCCCACCTCAGCCAACGCAACCCGAGTTCACAGCTCGGAGGTGTGGGCGTTCCTAGACCATCAACGCCACCGGCTTCAAGCCGCGCACAGCCTGCGTATCGCTGGCTGTTGTCGGATAACAGACCCTAAATGGATGGTCAAATAAAGAACATCAACAGCTCGATCCCCGCGCACTTGGTGGACACAGACCACCGTGTAGACGCCAGAGAGGCCTTCAGAGTTATTTACAAGGTCCCATCACGCTATTTAGAACTACTTGGGCAGCGCTTGTTTGCTACGGCAGAGGCGGCTGCAATCAGGCCACGCGGACCGGTCCTATGCGCACAGAAAAACTTCATACAGGTCCCACAGTTGCCATGGGCCAAAGCCAGCAAGCCGGCCACCCGCATGTAATTACCTTTGCCGGAACTCAACTTCCCCCTGGAGCTGACTGGAATTGTGGTGTTTCACTCTCCCCCTCCCCAAACCCGAGCTACAGCTTAATTATCTACTTGCGCGTATCTTTTTCATTACTTCAATAGCCATATAAATGTACAGGCCCGAAGAGAATTTACCGAAAGCAGACGTATGCTCACCAAATTGCCTTTTGAAACCGCAAATGGCCATTCCAATGTCCGTCTTTTCCGTACAGATTTTAGGACTGGATCAGCGAATTCGGCTGTCTGTATCCGGAAACTCGAGTGATGAGTGTTCGAATTATAAGTTGTACATGTCACGCTTGCCGCCCCACATTGGTGTCTGTGCAAGCCATCGGCCTCTGTTCAGCCCATAGGCATTGTCACTCCCCGTCTCCGCCCGCAGCAATAGTTGGTTGACCGAACTGTTATCCTTTTCGATTTCTGGTAGTCCAAATCTCTACTTGGTATCTCAGACCACAAATGCGCCTCCTTGACTGAGGACGGAAGTGGGTACCCCCGTACTGCAGGTGGCTTACGATAAATTCCAGTCTGTGCCTCTTCCCGTGTTTTGACTTTAACCCCAGCACTCTTATCCCCAGCCCCCCTCTCCTGGAATTTAGCTCATGCCCACCGGTCATACAGGGGGTACCCATTGCCATGTCCTTCCGCCTCTTTATGTTTAAGAGATACACCCTTGCCCCCTCTGACGTACACAATTACTCTACCCAGACAGTATTAACACCGATAGTTCGACCGTCGATTTCGACGATGTCCACCGTTTGCTAGACACCAATGTGCGGCAGGCACGGCGACTTGCGAAGCATCTATCGCACTCTCTCCTCCCCACCTGGACCCGATGTCAAGACAGAGTCAAGAAGACCGGAGGCGGGGGGGGGCGTAGGTGGATGGCATGGTCTAGCCTGCACCTTGGTGTTGTACTCCGCACCCCATTGTCCACACAGCAAATGACTAGGTTTTTGACCAGCAACAGCAACAACAACAACACCCCGACAGGAGGTCAGAGCCCGTATCAACAGTACATGCGCCAAGCGGAGGTCCTCGCGTTTGTCGGCTGACCGGTCGGGGAACTAGCAGTTGTCGATCCGCGCGTTGTACCAATTTTCAAGTACGACACGCGATAATGTGCACTCGGACCCCGCACCAACTATCAGCACCGGCGATGAGGGTGCAGTGATTAACCACTTAGACGTGTCCTCGATGAAACTTCAGCGATCTCTGAGTAGCTCGTTGCGGCCACATAGAGGAGCTCCCGTTCCGGTCTTCTCGTGGTTGCACTTTGTAATGAGTTTAATGCTTTTGTACTGCTCCACTGGATGTTGCTTCCGCATCTGCGACAGCCAGTGCACATAAGTGATACTTATATGCAATATTTACTCTCCCCTGTCTTCCCTTCAGCGAATGAAGGACTGCAAAGCTGCCACTGAGGTAGCAGTGGCGGTCGCTAGGACACTTTGCAAACAAACGGACGAAGGAGCCAATGAGAGTCCCTTCAGGCGAATGCAGTACGCCGTGGAGTTCGTGCACTTTACCGGACAGCTGGCAAACGAGCATGACAGAGTCGAATTAGCGTCCCACCGAGTCCTCCTTCCGGACGACTTCTCAGCCCCCGGGACTCCGGGACATCCGTCAGCCTGGCGAGAGACATGGTCAGTTTTGGTATTATTGTTACGCTCGAAATACGCTGAAACCTTCATGCTCATCAGTGGCACACCTACGTCCGTGTGCGCCAGTATGTTGCTCGCCACTCGTGTATGTACTCCCAACCGGGCCACGTGTTAGATGCGCTGGATCAGCACGGAGACCACATCGGATTCTGCCAGGCGTTATCTGTGCGCAATAGCAAATACCAACATGTAGGGGGTACGCTGGCAGTCCCTGTTGTCGACAGCCGTCGCACAACTGGGATCACTCCCACGCCCTCCATTGTTGTGGCAGTAAAAATCCTGGTGTGTGGACCAGGGGATGCGGAGTGGAGCTCCAAGGCGAGGATCCGTCCGAGCCACCCACCTGCGGCCTCCCTCGTCTCTGGTCCTCTTGACTCTATCTTGACACCGGCCTCAGGCGGGGGAGGAGGCGAGAGTGTGGATAGATGCAGCCCATGTCTACTGGCACTATAAACCCCCGCGCAAGTCACCGTCCCTGCTCCCACCTCTGCTGTGGGGCATACGGTGGACATAATCGAAATCGATGGTCTAACTATCGATGTACTCCCAGTCGCAGCTATTGAGGTCTGCCCAACCCATGATGTAAGCAGTGAACACCAGCTGTTCCGTTATGTATTAATAAATACCCGATCACCAGCGCCAGAGCATGCATGTCATGTGACGAGGCAGTGGGAGCAACAGCCACCTCATCACTCTGATGATGGAAACGAAGAGGTTTTCGAGACGCCAGTACAAATACAACTCGGCCCAAGAACTCACTTCTACTTCATCCCCGGCGACTGATGAACGCAACCGACGGGACGACGTGCCCGTGGATCGATAATTGGGTGGTATGCAGGTCTATTGCTCGATTGATTGTACCAGTTGGTCGTTTGAGAAATTTAACAGACTGTATTTCGTAAACTCTCGACCCTGGTTCGAAAGTCGCCGCCTACCTATGAGAACTTCTCCCAACATCTGGTAAGAATAGGCGTCTAACTCCCATTCTCTTATTCACTAAGTCATCTCGGAGTGCACACTACGTCGATTGCTCAATCCATTTTTGGGTGTCGAACTTGAGATAGGTGATTTTATTAAAATGAAGCTTTAGTCAGCGAATCCAATGAATGGGCTCTCTTGAGAACAACTTTTCTCAGAACTTTCCGCAACAGTCGGCAAGCAGCCACGCATTTCATCAGTCCCCATTTTCAGGCCTTTCTTGCCTTTCAGTTTAGATTAATTTAAGTTTTGTCAAAACCAAAAGTTACATTTCAGACAAGTACGACAACAGGCATCAAACTGCCCCCACGCACAAGTATGAGCACTGACTCCTGGCTGAGATTCAGAACGTTGAAACTTTTGTCCGGTAAACGATACTCATGGCCTTGGTTCAAAGAGTCGAGAAGCGATCGGTATCATTCCGGTTTCATCATGTACCGAGGAGTGGTTCGGTCGCGATGCCTCTGTCAGCTTCTCCTACCCACGAGCGGAATTAGCTTACTGGCATTAATGCAACGCCACGTCAACCTCTTACCGTTGGCCAGATACCGCTCGCCAGCGCCTTGGCTCAGAGAGTCGAGAAGCGATCGGTATCATTCCGGTTCTCACGTTGAACCAAATGCTGTCAGCATCGCTCGCATGTTCCCGTATGACGGAATTCTCAGGCTGGCGACAGCTGCTCGTGTTCTTCCACCTTACCGTTGCCCAGAGAGGCCTTCCGAGTGACTTACAGGGTTCCGCCCTGCTGTCCAAAGCTACTTTGGCAGCGTCTGTTGGCTACAGCAGAGGCGGATGTAATCAGGTTATGTAAACATGTCCTGTTGGTAGAGAAGAACTTCATACAGATCCCACAGTTGTCATGGGCCGAAGCCACCAAGCCAGCCACCCGCATATAATTACCCACTGTCTCCCTGACGTTGACCGCAATTTGTGTTTCACTCCCCCCCCCAAATCCGAGTTACAGCACAGTTACCTGTTTGCCCACATCTTTTTATTCATTATTTCAATAGCAATATCAATGTACAGGCCTGAAGGGAATTTATCGAAAGCAGACTTATGTCTGCCAAATTGTCCTTTGAATTTTTAAATGGGAATCTTTGCAATTCTAGAAAACAACTCGCCAACAAAAATAGTCGTCGTAATAAAGTTGTAGCCAAAACGGGGAATCTCCCTCCACCCGTATACATGAACGCCAGTTAGCGGTGAACAAACGAGACATCTTATCCCAGGTAGCTGTGCACACACTTGACACAGGACACATCCGCCTGGGTGAAAACCAGCATAGTCCAGGATGTGTCCAGGTCTGCAAAATAAATGGCAATAGTCCAATCAGACAAAACCAAATATTTGGCGAACCCTTCTTTACACTAAAAACTGGTTCGAACTGTTTAAAGGGTGCCTAAGGAATCACCAAATTCAAGTCGCTCACAAGCTGACAACTACATTACGCACTCGGCTTGTATACCCTAAGGGTAGGGTGGACTATTTGGGCAAGAAGTCGCCTACAAGATCACTTGTGATGCATGTAATACCGTTTACTGTGGTCAGACTGGAAAGTCCGCCTCTATCCATTCACGAACATCATTTGTCAGTAAAGAGGCGAGACCACGTGTCCCAAGCCACCATGCACATCCTGGACCCCGGGCACAGCGCTGGGGACGGAACTTATTGTCGGTGTCCACCCCTTCAAGAACCGCCAAAAGTTCCTCGAGGCCATGCGCCCGTGTGAATCGTACATCAACCGACATGTAAGGTTGCATGCCGCGTACAAGAGTTTCAATGAGGAACGGAAGAGACGAGAGCCGATCGGAATAGAATGACACACACGGCGGCCGCTCACCGACGCAAACACCAAGTCATTGTCAATTTTAAAGTGCACGTAAGATGTTAACTGGTTTTGGCGCATTTGCTCCCCGTCAGCATCTGACGAGCACCCAGGGAACCAGCGTCGGGAATTTGCGAAATAAAGCTCCTTTCCCGTCATCATTCCCGGAGGAAACGAGTTTATAGACCGAAGTGTATTTGACTTGGCGTATCGGAACCTTCCTCGTTCCTGTGATCAGAACAGTGCGGTGTTCGTTCCTGTTGCCCACGACGTGTTCAGCCTAGTTCCCTGTCTCTTATTACGTTAGTGCTCGATGCACGAATTTTGACTTACCCGTTTGCTGATGACTAGCTTTGACCTCTGCACTGGCTGGCGTGACCCTTGTCCCCTCATCGGCCGTAGCAGTAGTAGCCAATTCGGCGAGCTTCTTGGGTTCCCCTTTCGACAGCCGACGGACTGATCAGTCGTTAGGTTATTACCGACAAAGACAAGGGAGTCTGATAATGGCTATTTCTGGCTTCTTAGCCGTCGTCAGCCAGTCATACCCAACCTCGAAGTGTGGAATACCCGAGTCTCGAACTCGCGACCTGTTAGAAGTCCACGCCTCTAACCACTGGGCCACGAGCCCGTTGCCCTGTCGGTTTCGATCGGGAATATACAATGTTAGGGGGGGGGGGGCGCTCACCGATCGTTCTGACGGAACTCACTCGTTCCGTTGTGTTTTACGGGCTCTCTCTCTCTGCCCATATCATGCGCCGCTCTGCGACTGCTGGTTGGACTCGAGAGAGAACCCGTAAGGCACAACGGAACGAGTGAGTTCGTAAGAACGAGTGGTGAGCGCCCCCTACCATTTATCAGTCGTTGCCGCCCGTGCGAGTTGACTTCGGCCCTGCGGACGCGTCGGTGCGGCAGCGTTTTACCCTGGGCACGTGATCTCGTACCGGCCCCTCCACTATTTCCTGTGAGCATTGGATGTCGTCTCCACCTGACTTTTCCAACTCTCTTATCTGATATTCGGGGGGATTCATCTTACACCTATTATGCTTAACAATCTTGGGTTAATCGACTTAGAATACCTTGCGAATCTGTACCACCTTTAACTTTGCCCATTAAGCTGTGTGTGATTGCAGTTGCAAATATTTCGGTCTCACGTAGGCCAGTTAACAGTTAGCACACTTGCATATACCTCAGAAGGGCTTTTAGGGACGTAAGATAGGTGCCTCGTTAGTTAATTAAAGAAAGCCTTTTGGATAGTGAGTATTCCGTCGAGTCGAAACCAGCCTTCGGAGTTCTCATTTGGGTAGGACTGACTTATATGGCCCTCCTAACGCCCCGCCAAAGTTATAAAGGTAGACCCGACACAATTCCGGTGAGGGCAAAATATCTCCGTGGCCGTTGCGCCAATCTTGACCCTAACCCTACTCTATACCTTATCTCTGCAGTTTACACTATCCCCTACAAACGCAGTTGCGTAAGGGCGCTATACCGGCGCGTTGGACGCACTGCAGTGAAATGGAAGACAAGGTTGCTGAAGTACAATATCTTCGAGGGGTGATGGGAGCCAATGGTTACCCGCGCAACTTTGTCAACCGTTGCATACGAAAAGGACACCAGAGACCAAATCCAACCGGCCCCAAATTTTGGCGGGCTCTTCCGTGCGTGAAGGACGTCTCGGAAGTCGTCAGTCGTCTTCTCACTCCACTTGGAGTTGGGGTTGTACACAGGCCGGAAGCAACCATTAGGCGCCAAATCATGAAGCCGAAAGACCCACTGCCACAGCAGGCAACGTTTGGAGTCGTTTACCGGATCTGGTGCAGTTACGAACAAAGCAGCTGCGTCGGAGAAACTGAGAGATTACTCCGTAAGCGAATTGCCGAGCACGCAACAGCAGTGAGGCGGGGAGACGCTAGCTGTCAGGTGGCGGCACACTCGACGGGACCCGGCCATATTTTCGAATTGCAAGAGGCCGAAATCCTTGCAAGGGGTGACAACCGCGTGAGTCACGAGCTGCTCGAGTCTTGGCTTTCAGGCCCGCAATCCCTCAACAAGCACAATGACCTCCCGGTACCATATTCCATGCTGAGATTTTCCCTGGGCAGGGAATCAGTCATGTGGGGAGGGCGCGGGCGAGCAATTATCCCAGTGACAGTGAGGCAATTTACCGAGCAATCGTCACGCCAGCATCCAGCACGGATGACGAAATCACGACAATTAACGACTCGGTCTCGGACTGACAAGCCACCACCACATCAATTACGACCCCAGCGGTGATTGCCAGAGCTATTAATTACAGTGCGCATATGGTCTCACGTCAGCCACGTGCTATAAATACTGCACTCCTTGTGCCACCATCACTTTTATCTGGGACTGTCTCTGATGATGGATTCGAGTGAGAATCCGAAACGTCAGGCCAGTAAACTTCTTATTCCAGTGATCGCATCTTCGTCTTCTGAACTATCCCCTATCTTAACCCTAAACTTGGTCCTGACTAACCTTACCACTACCTTTACACCTGGACTTAAACCAAATCCTTAGGCTAACCCTTACCCCAACCTTAAACCTGACCCTAACTTCACTGGAATTCGGCTCCAACCTACGCGTAGTGCAGGTGGTTCCTACTCCTATGACCTGTTTAGGGGACCACATAAATCAGTCCTATCTTCATCTGCTGTGATCAGCAGAGTCTGTGCTACGTTGCTGCTGCTGCTCGTATTTCTTACATTTTCCTCAGGTTCGACCTGTCAGTTGGGACTGTTGACAATCATCATGTTCATCGCTGCTAATGGTTACCTGTGCCTTTTACAGCCTCTGGCCACTGGACGTTTCTGAAAAGGGAGACCAAGCGAAGTGGAACGGCGAGCTTGATCAGCCTACTACTATTCATCTCCTCGAACCAGTAGGTGCCCGGCCGACAGATAGGTTCGTCTTGCTTGGGCGACTGGGCTGGCATCCGAAGCATAACGTCTTTACAGTTGCCTGCCTGGATGATGATGAATCTGTCGATGCACTGCCCCTCTTTTTCGAATCGGCCGCAGTGGACTCTGTCAGCGAGGATGAAGACTGGTGTCCCGGTCGAAGTCTGGTCATCTGCACGGGGCCGCGTCTGGTCACTGCCAAGGGGGTCCAGCCGGTTTACCTTTTTGGCCAAAAGTGAGATGCATCCCTCCCTGCGTTTTGTTCGCCTCTTCCGTCGTCATTTTGGGTGTCTGCTTTTGTCGAGGTGCCGGCGAGCAGGTCGACTTCGCGGTTGATTAAGTTTCGGCTGCCGATTGTCAGATCCATGTTAAGTTTCGGCTGCTCCAGATTAACCGTGCCCGATCTAAGCTAACTTGGCGATTGTTGTAACTTGCGTATGGAAAAGTGTTGGCGTATGTCCTTACGCTTTGCCTTCATTTTGTGTTCGTGCATCGGTGTCACTTACCTTTTGCCGGTCCTGACGCTATGAGTTGTTAGGCAGTAACGATACAGTAGGTGGGCTAACTCATGAAATGTCAACCGAAATTCCAGAATGCGCTTTCGTTTCGAAAAGATTAATTAGATAGGGTTGTAATACCAATCATCATGCAGCATAATTCTATAATAATTCAGTTACCTCAGGATGCCGGCTTTCGAATTAACTTCCTTTCGGCTTCATGCAAGAACTACACTGTAAAAATGACTACTTAAGTAGCATGAATTTTTCCCATTGATTTTCGATGCCCCTAAATGCCCAATTATATTTCATGAAGACATGCATAAAAATATTCATTCTTTTGTTCATTCGGTAGATCAATACGTTTTCTTCTGATTTTATTCACGAAGGAGGGACATAATTCGGTTTGAAAAAGTTTCTAATTGTGAGACTTATAAATACCTTGAAATGGTCGTTCATAAACTGTCATCTCTCTCCATTTACCAATGTGGCTTGTAAAGTTAACTATGTGGATCTACTTTTCTGCTTAATTTTATGAATCGTATATGGTCCCCCTTTATTACCGTAGAGAAATGTGAGGTTTACCATACGCGGAAAATATGCGGCTTGTAGTTTTGTAACCCTAAATCCAAGTCTGACGGTAGAGCGGATTCAAAATTATTCTTGAATTGGAAATCATTTTTAAAACCGAATCATATTTCTCCTTCAAATATAAAATTAGAAGAAGACGTAATTTTCTACCGAATGAGCAAAAGAAGGAATATTTGTATGCGTGTTTTCCATTAACTGCAAATGGACTTTTAAAGGCATCGAAAATCAAAGAGGAAAATGAATGCTAGTTAAGTAGTCATTTTTTACAGAGTGTAGTTTCTGCATGCAGTCGAAAGGAAGTTCGTTCGAAAGCTGGGATCCTGGGTAACTGACATATCATAGGATTATGCTGCAGGCTGACTAGTTTTACAATCCTACTTAATTAATCGTTTCGAAACTAAAACGCATTTCGGAATTTCGGTTGACATTTCATGAGTTAGCCCACCTGCTATACCTTTTGCCGGTCCTTACGTTATGATTTGTTAGGCAGTAACGGTAGGTAACGTGGCTAGTAATTGCGGGCACCGATGTTTATACATTTTACTATGATATTCGAGCCTTTGAGTCCGCTGAATTGATCATCGGGGGTAGTTAAAAATACAGCCTTCAATTATAATTATTGCGTGCTAGGTGTACCTAACGCCGTGATCTGATTATTTCGCAAACTGGATAAGTAAAAACCGTTTGCCTCCAAGACCCATGCAAAGTTAGCATTACCAGACTCTTTGTATGCGTCTTTTATCCTTATTGTACAGCTCGATGGACTTTGTCGATCTGTGGCCAGAGTCGCCTTCGTTTACTTCCCGGATCAGGCACGGTTTGTAGGCCTTCGGTTTGTGATAATTCATCAGAGTGCAGTGAACTGTGGGTTGATTGATACCGAATCGACATGAAGTGTACCCCGCTCATTAAGTCAGGTTTCGACTGACATAGCATTGCCGTGAAACTTTCCCGATTTCAGTCTGAAACTTCGTTTCACATTTTGGGACGAAGTTGCGATTGTCTGTCATGTACGATTTTCCTTTCTATCTTCACCGACCTTTGTCATAATTAGGCGTAGGCCTTAGTTCTCAGTGACTCATGAATTGAAAAATAGGAGCTGGACCTGTGCTACTTGTGCACTCTTGATCATTTTAGATGAATTTATTGGATAAATGAACCATAAAAATGGCTACACTTTAATCACCTCGTCTTTTTATTATGATGAAACTTCGAATAAGCACAGAGCGATTTCTATGGATCCGCCTGTTTTTTTCACCACATGCTACTTGGCGCGGTGCAAGCAGGCAACCTCACCCCCCTCGCCTCGCCTCTATTTATTTCCTTGCTCTCCGTTCCCTGTGTAGGTGTCTCTCCACCAACTGTTCTCTACATTTAGAATGGCTTTCTTCGAAAGATTCCTCACGATTCAGGGACTATGTGTCCTTCCAAAAGCAGCTACCGCTCATACTATTCCAGAAACATCTTCGACACTCGTCGAAGACTCGCAGATCTTATCTGAACACCTCACCATCTTTGTGCGTCATGTTGGAGAAGCCGCATCTCCTACTGTTTTCACCCTCAAGTACGACCTAGTTACCTCAGTTCAGGAAAGTAATTCAGCCACCTCTCTCGGCTCAATCACTCTCTACGGGGCGGTCGCTCGACGTGCTTACTGCAGCGGGATCTTTCAAGTCGGCTCCACCTTGCTGCTAGAATTACCTGGCACTGCGGATGAAGGTGGCATCACCACGAAGCCCACCCGACTGGTCTCAGTCACCCGCCTCGCACAACCCTTTGAGCGGAGACTGAGCACGTGTCGTCACCTGGTTGGCCTTTTCCGTTGTAAGGTTTTGAGCATCGCTGAGGCCTCGTGGCTGCTGTGCTCTCTGTCGGACAGTTCGTGTTACCTCAGCCCCTCGGGCGACCACTTCCGCATTAGTTTGCAGGTTAGCTACTAAGAATTCCACGAAATGGCTACTTAATTTGTTTGCAGTAGCACATTTTGTCAACGTTTCTCTTCTAGGGTCTAGTCGCTCGGTCGATAATGCGCCCGGATATCGACTCGCTCTTTAAGGGCAGTATCTGGCTCGTTGATCCCCTGCCATCTACACCCTCCCCGCCCCATCTCCGTGTGGATTTCTTTTCCGACTCCGGCTTGTCAGATCTATGCCGGTTGCCGGCTCTCAGTCGAGTTTGCCTCTTTAAGGCTCGCGCTTACTGGAATCACAGTGACTGCTCTTGGAGACTCGTCGTACCATTGCGCCCCAATCGATTCCAGGTGGATGCAATTCCTTCATTTATCGCCTCCACGTGTGAGGGTTTTCCTTTTGAATCCACTATGGTGCAACAAGAGGAAGAAAAAGTGAGGGCAGACCCCTGTCCTCTGTGCTCCGTCAAAGTAGTGGTGACACAGCAGGCTAGCGAATGCCGGTCGATTCACGGCTTTGATGCCCCCTCTTCTTCTGCTTCTTCGCCCTCCACCTTCTCCCTCCTAGCCTTTTGCAAATCGGACTCTTCTGAAGACGCAAAATTTTACTTTGTTAATATGCTGAAGTGTCTGCAACTTCGGATTGCCTTCTCGAAGGGACTGGGTAAGTTCCGTTTCTCTTCGCGCACTGCCATCGTTCTGGGGTTTTAAAAACACGTCGTGGTAATGGCGGCAGTGGAGAGTGGAGGAGTTCCCCGTGTAGCCTAATTTCCGCAATCCCAGTTCAATAACAGACCGCCAATGGGTGAACTGTTATTACGACTGCGAGTAGATGTGCCTCTGTCGTAGAGACTAACGAATGTTAGAGAAAACTATGCCATACTTGCGCGTCTCGCAGGGCACGTGGTTGCTTTTTCGCTATTTTGAAATGCAGATGTACATGGACTGTCCCGTGAAGGTGGTTGGGCCTCATATCACCCCTTGGTAAATAGCAACTACTTGAGATTTCTTAAATCTATTCAGGACCAATGATGGCAACTATACACCGACCAATCAGTTAACTTTACTCCTTCTTCAGTAGTCTATTTCAACCGTAGACAGCTTATGCAGTGTGAGTTCTGTTTCAGGTTTTTGGCGGCTTATGTTTGCAACAAAGAGCGTTGAGACATTTGCCTTAGCCCCTAGATATACTTGTGCGACCTAAAATGACCTTTGAAACAGGTCAGGTCCGACTTTACGGTTCACAGTTTTCCAAGTTTATGCAAGAGTTTCACGCAGCTTCAAATCGCAGTTTTATAGTTTTGAGTGCTTATAGCAAGTTCATTATTGTCAGTGGAGGGGATTAAACATAGCTCGTTTCTCAGTATCACTTTAAAGACAACCATTCCTGTCTGAAAAATTAATGCTAAAGAGTCTGCAATGTTTTGTACTTTACAAACTTCGTTGGCAGTTTGAGAAATCTGTCCTCGACTGCAAAGAACCTCCAAATACCTGCACGTTTCGGCCTTGTATTTACATAACATGATTTTTATTCATTGCAACACTGCATTAACAAATGGAGGTTCTTTTGAACTAACAGAAAAATGTGTGACTTCCGTAACGCCATCCTGGCTTGCCAGTTGATGAGATGATTCGGTTCTGCTCATAACTAGAGGCCAGACCTCACTGTTTCCCTCATAGAAGAACTTTTGCTTTACTTACACTAGCCCTTTCTTTTCTAAACCCGATTCGTGTGAAGTCATGGATGGGCGCGTGTGTGGTGCGCGTAGATGCGGCGTCAGTCTCGTCATACACTGCCCCCATGGCTATGTCCAGTCAACTGGACGTTGGGGGGCGGGTGAGATAGATGCTGCGTGAAGTGGCGTCGCCATTATCGTGCTCCTGCGCAAGTCATCGTCGCACAACAATCTCCTAACCAGTGGTGGTGGCCTCGTCGTTTGTGACGGACTAACTTATTTGGTTGGATACCAGTGTCGCAACACTCCGTTACTGATGCTAGTATTATTGCAGTTAGTTACCCATACTATAAGCGTTGGTAGAGTAGCATTGGCAGCCGTGGCGGTTGTGGTAGTAGTAGTAGTAGTAGTACTAATAGTGGGATTATTAGTAGTATTCGCCGTATCAGTGGTGGTAGACGGGCGAAAAAGTTTTCTTCAGTGTTGCGACACTGTATTCCCGCCAGTGGTAGTAGCATTAGTAGTAACAGCGGTAGTAGTGGTAGTAGTAGCAGTAGTAGTGGTAGTAGTAGTAGTAGTAGTAGTAGTCCGCCCGTAAGATAGGCTGGTGGGGGAATAGACAATTCTAAGTGTTGCGACACTGTATTCCCGCCACTTATTTATTTGACCCACCGGTGAAAAACTCGGCGGCGTCGGTGGGATTCGAACCTACGACAGCAAGATCGAGGCTCGGATACAGCCGACGCTCTAACCACCTGAGCTACGAGGCCCCACCGGGAGCTGTGATTTTAATCACATTTACGTCAAGTTGCCCGTTCGGCCCGCTGCATTTTCAAGAATTTACAAATTATGGTACAGTAAGCTGACCGCCCAAGCAGGATTTCCGAAGCAATCAATGTGCCATCAGGCCTACTTAATTTGTATTTTTGGCAGATTTAAACGACTAATTCACAGTTGAATCAGATGAATTCTTGAGAACTGCCAAAAAACCAATTAAGTGAGACCGGCAGTCACGTAGTGAGTTCTAGACTGACTAGTTAGGAAATGCTGTTTGGGGAGTTAACTTACTATGCCATTATTGGTGGATTCCGTATTCACACTCCCGTGCATGTGGGGTGTGTGTGTGTATACTACAGGTAATACCTCTCAGTCGACGACAGACTGGTTACTCAGCCTTTGAAGGGTGATGACCCAGGCTAAATGCAGAGCTGAATGTCACCCTTCTAAGCCCAATGGAATGTAAGCATCTGGTAGGCCCTGGCAGCCTGGTGTACGC